TTCTCCGTGCCCCCGTCAGTCTCCGGATGGTGCGCCGACGATAGGCACACCTGCACCTCCAGCGCGGCCATCAGGCTTTTCCAGAACCGGGCCGTGAACTGGGCCCCGCGGTCCGACACTACCCTGTCCGGCAGGCCATGGAGGCGAAAGATGTGCTGCAGGAACAGACGGGCCGTGGTGCGGGCGGATGGCAGTCCGCAACACGGGATGAAATGGGCCATCTTCGTGAGCATGTCCACCACCATGAGGACGGTTGTGAACGTGGCGGACAGTGGGAGATCCGTCAGGAAATCCATGGAGATGGCACCCCACGGTCTCTCCGGTGTCGGCAGCGGTTGGAGGAGTCCAGGAGGTGGGCCGGACGCGGATTTGGCCTGTCGGCACGTCACACAGGATGTCACGTAAACGTGCGTGTCATGCCGTACCCTAGGCCACCAAAAAGTCCGCGTCACCATGTTCAAGGTCTTGAAGAACCCGAAGTGCCCCGCCGCGGGATTGTCATGGCACTGGCTCAGGACGAGGGCTCGGAGCCGGCTTGTAGGCACGTACAGTCGGCCCCGGTGCTTCAGCAAGCCGTCCTCCAAGGTCCATGGGGATGCTGGGCCAACTTCCACTCTCCGCTGCTGCGACCAGTCATCACGGTGCTGCGCTTCCCGCACCTGAGCCCGCAGGTCCGCCGGTTCCTGGACCGCGGCCAAGGCCTCTGCAGGCAGCACCGTCCGAGGGGGAAGGGGGTCCTTGGGGCAGAAGTATTCCGGCTTGCGGGATAGCGCGTCCGCCCTCTGATTGAGGCCGCTCGGAATATAGGTGACGTGGAAGTTGAACCGGGCGAAAAACAACGACCACCGGATCTGCCGCTGGTTCAACTTCCTGGCCGTAGTGAGGTGCTTTAAGTTCCGATGGTCCGTCCGCACCTCCACCTGGTATCGGGCCCCCTCAAGGTGATGCCGCCAAGCCTCGAACGCGGCCTTGATAGCCAGCAACTCTTTTTCCCAGATGGTGTAGTTGCGCTCGGAAGGATTGAGTTTCCGGGAGTAATAAGCGCAGGGAAAAAGAGTGCCACCATCCACCGGAGCCTGTAGCAGAACTNGGGTCGGGGGCACCTCCAGTCGAACCAACTCATCCTGCAGGTCATCGGAGAGGCCGTCCTGGAAGGCATCCATCAACGCCGCCTCATTCCAGGCTGAGTCCTGGCCGAGAAGGCGGAACTCCGCAATATATTCCTGCAAGGCGCGCTTCCCTTGGCGGAGGTCCTTAATGCGCCTTGCTGCCGTCTGCACGCGAAGGGGTTCTTCATACATAACGCGCAGGTGTTGCAGAAAGCCCTGGTAATCGAGGAGCAATGGACTGTTTTGCAACAGCAAGGGCGTGGCCCATCGGGCGGCAGAGCCCGAAAGGTAGCTGATCACAAACGCCACCCGAGCCCGATCATCCAGAAAATCCTCCGGCCTCATTGCCATAAATAGTTGGCATTGTCCCAGGAAGGCCGGGAACTGCTCCGTCTGCCCAGAAAAACTGTCTGGCACCTTCACAGGGCATCTTGAGCGAGGGGGAGGAGGAGGAGGGGGAGGGGGGGGAGGAGCAGCAGGAGCATTAGCCAAAGCAAGTTGAGCCGTTAACTGGCCTACTTGCTGTTGCAACAGCTGATTAGCATCCATCAGCTGTTGAATCTGCTGCTGCTGCTGTTGGTCCATCGTGGGTTAATGATGGTTCTGTCTGGGTGACGGACAAGATGTTCTGTCCCCCGTCCGACCCACACCCCCCAACCAGTCAGCCGAGGCCTGAAAAACTGCTCGGCACAGTCAAAGACAAATGAATTTCTTGGCAGCAACTTCGTAGCTGCCTGCCAAGCCTTTACTGATAATGCACAGCAAACAGAGATAAATCCAAGATAACTTGCCAGAGTGCTTGCAACAGAATATCCAGCAAAAATTGTCCGTCACAAAAGTTTCACACGCCACACCCCTTGCTTATATAGCCAGTGGGGTGTGGCCCAGGGACTCAGCTGAACTATCTGGCACGGCATGTCCGCTGCTGCGCACGCTTGTCCTTCCGACGCTGGCGTGGATCCAGCCAAGACGTATCCTCTTCGGAGTCCGATACACCTGGCTCCTGGCTGATCCCAGAAGCACCTGGCTCCTGGCCAATCCCAGAAGCACCGGGCTCCTGGCCAATCCCAGAAGCACCGGGCTCCTGGCCAATCCCAGAAGCACCGGGCTCCTGGCCAATCCCAGAAACACCGGGCTCCTGGCCAAACTCCTCTCCGTCGGAAGGCACCGAAGGCCGCACCAGAGGGGAAGGGCCTGGAGAGGGAGGCCTGGCCATCTCCTCTCCTTCATGTTCAGAGCCTTCCTCCTCTGNCCCAGGAAGCGATGCCCCAGCCGAGACTGGAACAAGTAAGCCGGGGGGGGCGCACCACCTGCCCCGCAGCCGCTTCGCGGCAGTGCTCCATGAACTCAGAGCCCCCTCCCTCCCCCCGGCACTGACCCTCTGTCTCCGGCTCTGCTGCTGCTTGGCGCCGGCTGGGCATCGGAGGGGCTGCTCTCGGGGCCGCGGTTTGTGGGAAGGCTGGCCCGCTCAGCGGAGGCTCGGGCAGGCCACTCCCAGCGGGGATCTTGGGGCTTCCCCGCATGGCTCCCCAGCCACGTGCGCCTGGGACGGGGCCAGCCCGGGAAAGGGACTTCCTGGCTGCCCTTCTCCCAGGGGGCGGGGCACCCGGGCGCAGGGCCAATGAGGAGCCCTGCGAGGGGGCAAGTCCCATGAGAGAGAGAGAGAGAGAGACAGAAGTGCAAGTGCAAGTGCCTCTGTCTGTCTCTCTCTCTCTCTCTCTCTCTCTCTCTCTCTCATGGGACTTGCCGGAGGGCCATGGGAGGGCCGCATTTACATAGAGCAGGGAGGGCTGTTAGAGGGCCGTATTAAACCGGAACGCGGGCCGCAAATGGCCCGCGGGCCGGACTTTGGACATGTCTGGAGTAGTATGATGGGCTAGAAGGAAGTCAGCCAACCTGTGATGCCAGTTGCCATAAGTCAGTTTCTTGAGAGCGTCCTTGGCGACGCGGACCATTCCTTCAGCCAGACCGTTGGTAGAAGGGTGGAATGGAGCCGAAGTAGCGTGGCGAATCATGTTGGCTTGTAGAAACCCCTGAAACTCAGTAGAAGTAAATTGAGGACCATTATCCGACACCAACACATCTGGCAGACCATGGGCAGCAAAAATGTTTCTCAATACCTGGATGGTCTTGGCAGTAGTGGTGGATGACACAGGCACAACCTCCAGCCATTTGGAATGGCTATCTACAATAACCAGGAAGAATTGCCCCTGAATCTATATGTATTCTAGACCATGGAGTGTGTGTTTCCTCCCACCTATGCACAGGAGCCTGGGGCATTTCTGGCCTGGACTGCTGACACGCATGACACCCGTGTACCTGGGCCTCAATGGCCCTATCAATGCCAGGCCACCACAAATGGCTGCGCGCAAGCGCTTTCATCGTGACAATCCCAGGGTGACCCTCATGTAAGGAAACTAAGATTCTCGACCTCAATGAGGCCGGAATCACAACTCTAGAGCCCCAGAGGAGGCAGCCATTGAAAGTGGACAACTCGTGCCTCTTGACCCAAAAACATTGAAAGTCCTTCTCTGGGCATCTGTCAGGCCAACCTGACAGCACCCATGTCAGCACGCGTTTAAGCGTGTGATCAGTGGCAGTTTCAGCAGCCACATCCCTAGCATTAAGGGGACACTCTGGCAATTCCTGAATGGACAATATGTGCACAGCAGGGGTAGGATCAGGCTCCACAGAAGGCAATGGCAGCCTACTTAAGCCATCAGCATGACCCATTTCTCTGCCAGGTTTGTGAACTAGTGAATAGTCATAAGCTGACAAAAAAATGGACCATCGTAGCATGCGAGGGGACAGGATGTGTGGGGTTTGTTTGGACGTAGTGAATAACCCCAGCAAAGGCTTGTGGTCAGTAAAGACCGTAAAATGGCGGCCATAGATGAAATCATGGAATTTTTTAATTCCAGCCACAATAGCCAAAGCCTCCCTATCAATTTGAGCATAGTTATGCTCAGCAGCAGACAATGTCCTAGAATAATATGTCACAGGGACCTGAGTCCCATCAGCCGTCAGATGGCTAAGCACAGCACCCACACCATAGGGGGAAGCATCACAAGCCAGACACACTGGCAACTGCTCATTAAAATGGGCTAGCACCGCATTGGATGTAAGCAAGGCCTTAACCTCATTGAAACTGGCTTCATGGACTTTGGTCCAACGCCAACAGGCATTTTTATCTAAAAGTCTGTGTAAAGATTCAGCGATAGCAGCTTTATGAGGTAGAAAAGCATGATAGAAGTTTAGTAAACCCAAAAAGGCTTGTAATTCACCCTTAGACTTAGGGCTTGGAGCCTGCTGAATAGCTTTGAGCTTAGCGTCAGACGGGTGTATACCCTGAGCATCTATCCTGAACCCCAGGAAATCAGTGGAATGTACATCAATCTTGCATTTGTCCTGTTTTAACTTAAGGCCTGCTCTTTGGAAACGAAGCAAAACAGCCCTTAACCTCTCTGCCAGCGTTTGAGCAGAGTCCCCTGCGATGAGAACGTCATCAAAATAAGGACACACACCAGGAATACCCCTCAGGGTGTTTTCCATTACACTTTGAAAAATGCCAGGGGCTACATTCACCCCAAACTGCAACCTTTTCACCTTGAAAGCCCCTCTGTGGGTAACAATAGTTTGAGCCTCTGCTGCTGCATCATCAACAGGCAACTGTTGATATGCTTGAGCCAGGTCAAGCTTGGCAAAAATCTTGCCCTCTTTGAGAGAAGCCAAAATGTGGCTCACCACAGGCACAGGATAAGCATGTTGCTGTAGGGCCTTGTTTAGTGTGCACTTGTAGTCTGCACAAATACGAATGTCCCCATTTGCCTTTAAAGGGGGTTTCCCACGGGCTGGAATCTACAGGCTCTAATATGCCTTGCAACTTGTCCAGTTCAGCATCAATCTTGCCCTTAAGAGCAAATGGTACTCTCCTAGGTTTAACCCTTATGGGCTGTACAGCTGAGTCAAGCTTTAGTGAAACTGGAGGTCCCTTGTAGGATCCTAGCTCAGAACTGAACACATCTGCAAACTCCTTGCAGACATCTGCAAGGGTCTCTGTTTGCAACTTGTGCAGCCCTGTTACTTGGATTCCTAATGCCTCAAACCAATCAAGTCCAATTAGACTCGTGCGCTCACCCCCCACAACCAGCACGTCTAAGGG